GCTCCGCATACTCTGTCAAGCAGCCTACACACTCTCTCTGATCCCACCTGGTCCCCAGATTGTGTGTGTCCCTTCTTCCATCTCTTCTTCTGCACTGAAAAACAGTACAAAATTTACTATTTCAGACATTTTGAGAGAAATAGAGAGCAGAAGCATAGAGAGCAGTATTTATTGAGATTAGCTGTCTTTTTCTTTTTTTTTTGTGGTGTTTGGATGTGTTGCAGCTCATGTCTGTGCAGAAATTATTGCAGCAGTGTCTAACATTTTCTTTCATGTGAAACCTCAAAGTATGGTGCGCCAGGTCCATTTGAGTACCGGGAAAACGCTTTGCATGCATTTGTCATGATGAAAAAAGGCTCTGGACAGCATCTGGAAATGGAAGTGGTTGGAGTTTGAAACGCTGGTAAAATCTACTCCTGAACGCAAGTTTGGTGCTTTCAAAAAAAACGACTGTAAATGACATAGTGTACATGGACACATACAAAAACATTAGGGTGAGTTCAGGGGCTGCTGAAAAAATGCAGAACATGTGTACATGGAGCCTTATAGTTCAGGTGTTTTGGTTATTTTTTAAGGGGTACTCAGTGGCTCTGCAATCCCATGGAGAGAGCTGGGAATGCCTGGAAGCTGTGACTTCACATGTAGTTTCCTATGTCACTGCCACTGTCTGATTTCCCTTCTCTCCCTTGCAGGAGCCACTGGTCGAAACATGACCAAACCAGTGGGAAGCAGGCTGAAAAACAGGTAAGCGTATACATCTTTTTTACACAGTTTAGTCAACATAGTTGTTATAAGGGGCAAGGGAACATTTTTAATACTAGTTAGGTTTAGGGTGGAATTCTAATCTAAATTCTAAACTAATCTTTGTAACAATTAGGCCCCATGCACACTGGGTGCACAAGACTCCAATATTTACAGGTAAAACTCAAAAAATTAGAATATCATGCAAAAGTTCATTTATTTCAGTAATGCAACTTAAAAGTTGAAACTAATATATGAGATAGACTCATTACATGCAAAGCAAGATAGTTCAAGCCGTGATTTGTCATAATTGTGATGATTATGGCTTACAGCTCATGAAAACCCCAAATCCACAATCTCAGAAAATTGGAATATTACATGCAATCAATAAAACAAGGATTGTACAAAGAACAATATCGGACTTCTGAAAAGTATAAGCATGCATATGTACTCAGTTCTGGGTTTGGGCCCCTTTTGCAGCAATTACTGCCTCAATGCGGCGTGACATGGAAGCTATCAGCCTGTGGCACTGCTGAGGTGTTATGGAAGACCAGGATGCTTCAATAGCGGCCCTCAGCTCTTCTGCATTGTTCGGTCTCATGTCTCTCATCTTTCTCTTGCCAATGCCCCATAGATTCTCTATGGGGTTCAGGTCAGGCGAGTTTGCTGGCCAATCAAGCACAGTAATCCCACAGTCATTTAACCAGGTTTTGGTGCTTTTGGCAGTGTGGGCAGGTGCCAAGTCCTGCTGGAAAATTAAGTCAGCATCCCCATAAAGCTCGTCTGCGGAAGGAAGCATGAAGTGCTCCAAAATCTCCTGGTAGACGGCTGTGTTGACCCTGGACTTAATGATGCACAGTGGACCAACACCAGCAGATGACATGGCTCCCCAAATCAACACAGACTGTGGAAACTTCACACTGGACTTCAAGCATCTTGCAGTGTGTGCCTCTCCATTCTTCCTCCATACTCTGGGTCCTTGGTTTCCAAATGAGATGCAAAAGTTGCTCTCATCTGAAAAGAGGACTTTGGACCACAGAGCAACAGACCAGGTCTGTTTTCCTTTAGCCCAGGTAAGACACTTCTGACGTTGTTTGTTTTTCAGGAGCGGCTTGACAAGAGGAATACGACATTTGAAGCCCATGTCCAGGATCCGTCTGTGTGTGGTGGCTTTTGAAATACTGACTCCAGCCTCAGTCCACTCCTTGTGAAAGTCCCCAACACTTGTGAATGGCTTTTTCCTGACACTCCTCTCCAGGCTGCGGTCATCCCTGCTGCTTGTGCACCTTTTTCTTCCACACTTTTCCCTTCCACATAACTTTCTATTAATGTGTTTTGATACAGCACTTTGGGAACATCCAACTTCTTTTGCAATTACCTTTTGAGGCGTTCCCTCCTTATGGAGGGTGTCAATGATGGTTTTCTGCACAACTGTCAGGTCAGCAGTCTTTCCCATGATTGTGATTCCTACTGAACCAGACTGAGAGACCATTTAAAGGCTCAGGAACCCTTTGCATGTGTTATGGCTTAATTAGCTGATTAGAGTGAGACACTTTGAGCCTAGAATATTGCATCTTTTCACAAAATTCTCATTTTCTGAGATTGTGGATTTGGGGTTTTCATGAGCTGTAAGCCATAATCATCACAATTATGACAAATCAGGGCTTTAATTATCTTGCTTTGCAAGTAATGAGTCTATCTCATATATTAGTTTCACTTTTTAAGTTGCATTACTGAAATAAATGAACTTTAGCACGATATTCTAATTTTTTGAGTTTCACCTGTAAATCTGTCACTGTGTAGTGACCAATAGTGCTAAAAAAAGATGATATTCAAATTGTCCAAGTAAAAGTGCATGGAAGATCTGATAATCTTCAGTTGTTGGTGGTCTATCCAGTATTGTGGTGATGTGACCAATGGTATAAAGACTGCGCACTCACCAGATGCGCAATCAATAAGCGCATTTAGAGACAATGCTCTCAGTAGAGGAACTGGAGGCCCCTTTAAAGGTGAGTATGGTCTGCTCAGGTATTCCCCCTCACTGCTCACTACGCTGTCAATAATGGCTCTATCACTCTTCTCCTGTAGCTCTGCGGGTTATTAGAAGCTCACTGCTAGGCCTCATTTTAATACAGGTTGCATCCATGACACATTTGCAAAAACACTACTAAGCCAGACAGTGTTGCCTCTGCTAAGAGATTGCTAGAAGATGTGCTCCTCCTCTATCATGCAGTATAGACACCCCTGACGCCCCTGTCAGTTTTAAATGGTTTGTCTCAACCCTCTAACTGACAATTTTGCTGGACAGCCTGGTCTGTCAGATGAAGTTATAAAATAACATACTTACTGGTTGAATTACCAGGTGGAATTAAAGAAAAAAAGCCTAAAAAAGAAAATGAATGCAGTAAACACATTGCACAAGCACCACATAAGAATTGGCAAGCTGCAATATATTACATTTTTTGGGGGGTTTAATACCGCTTTAAAATGTAGTTCCACTCAAAAGTGGAAGATCCTCTTGTTTTCCTCCCCCCTCTCCACTGCCATATTTGGCACCTTTTGGTCGGGAGCAGACCTGCTCCCACTTCCAGCACAGTTCGCTGCGACAAAGTGAGCTGGAAATTCGGCCCCCTCCTTCCTCCTGCAGTCTCCTGGGAACCCTCATGGGTCCAATCTAGATGCACAGCATGACTCGTGCATGCACAATGGGCACTCGGCTGTGGAGCCACAAGCTGTCACAGCCTGATGCCCACAATTGAGATGGTGGCGCCAAGGAGAGAAGAGACAGTGTGGCTGAGCACATTGCTGGACCCTAGGACAGGTAAGTGTGTGTTTATTAAAAGTCAGCAGCTACAGTTTTTGTAACTGCTGACTTTTTATAAACACAAAAACGGCTGTAACTCCACTTAAAAGAAAAAAAAATGCACCCATATTAAATAATAAAAAGTTTATTATTTTTCTGCATAGAATCCTGGAAAGCATTACAATCATAAGTGGCTCACAGATGGAATACATTGGCTCCTGCAGGCTGTTCCTGCAGCCGTTGGTCCAAACTGAGGTATGGACATTCAATTACAGGGCTAGAAGAAATATGAATGGAAAACAAGTGCAGGGACGTCACCACACTGCAGCAGCAGATGGGACTCATAGTTTTTTCATCTACCGGTGATACACGACGTGGCTGTGTGGGCAAAGTCATACACAGCTGAGGAGATTTTAAATAATCTGACAGGACACAATCTGTAGAAGAAACCCCGATTCTGTAAAGGGGGTAGTTTGAGGGTGAGGACTGTGCAGGCTAACCATGTTTCATCTTAAAGTGGTTTTAAACCTCACACATGAAATATGAACAAAACATATCCCTCTACAGTGTGTGCTTGTCTCAGTCCAGAGCACTAAGTGTCATTTCTGTCTGCTGCTTCGTTCCTCTGCTATCAGAGTGACTTCTGACAAGTTTTCCTGACACTAAGAGAAAAATGGTGACAGGGTAGGGACCTCCAGCTGATTGACAACCTCAGCTCTGTTCTTTTGGAATGTGATAAAGGGGGTGTGTCCCTTTCCTCCAGTCAGCTCTCGGAGCTCTCCTCACTGAGCTCTGAAGAGTGTAACTCCAGCTCTCCGCCCCCTTTTTTCTGATGGTTCAGATAAACTTTATAAACTCATCTCTTTGAACAGATGTAGAGAGGAGAAAAAACTGAGGATAAGCAGGTACAATCTATGTAGGAGGATTTGTTTAACCACTTGCCTACTGGGCACTTACATCCCTTTCATTACCAGGCCAATTTTCAGCTTTCAGCGCTGTCGCACTTTGAATGACAATTGCGCGGTCATGCAACATTGTACTCATATGAACGTTTTATAATTTTTTTCTCACAAATATAGCTTTCTTTTGGTGGTATTTACCCACCATTGGGTGTTTTATTTTTTGTGCTATAAACAAAAAAATAGCAAAAAATAAATAAAAAAAAAGTTTCTTTCTTTCTATTATAAAATGTTGCAAACAGGTAATTTTTATCCTTCACTGATGTACGTTGATGAGGCTGCACTGATTGGCAGCACTGATAGGCAGCACTGATAGGTGGCGCTGATAGGTTCTGCTGATGGGCACTAAAAAGGCAGCACTAATGAGGTGGCACTGATAGGCGGCACTGATGAGCTGGCACTGATGATGGATACTGATAGTCAGCACTGATAGTTGGCACTGACTGGTGGCACTGCTGGGCACTGACTGGTGGCACTGCTGAGCAGCACTGACTGGCGGCACTGCTGGGCGGCACTGATGAGCACTGGTGGGTGGCATTGGTAGGCACTGATGGGCACTGGTGGGCACTGATGGGCACAGGTGGTTGCATCCATTGCCTGTGCGTGCTACCTGGGAGCGTGTGGCACCGTGATTGATGCTCGCTGTGCCCTCCGGACAGCAGAACACAGATCTCTGTATGGGATCTCTGTGTGGTGTGAGGTCCCGATTCATGTGATCACTGATTGGCCAATCAGTGATCACATGAATAGTAGTAAGCAAGATGTCACTTCTGACATCATTGCTTACTACGTGTGAAATCTGTGAATGATCACAGAGGTCACATGGTACAAGGCTATTCACAACAGTCTTGTACCATGTGCCAAGCTGTGACCAATCACAGCTCTCACAGTATTTCTCAATGGCTGCAGGAATGCACCCAGAGAGAAGGAGAAATGATTGCTTTTACAGCCTTTATGGGTGTAAAAGCAATCAGTGTAAAAAAAAAGAAAAAATAATCTTTATCACCCCCCACAAGTAGTACAGTGTCACTATGGTGACACAGTACTGCTAGGGTGGCAGTATGTTAAAATAAAATGTAAAAATTATTATTATTATTTTTGGTTATAAACTAATTTGGGTTATTATTTTTGTACTAAAAAGATAGATGAATACATTTTGACCAAGATTTATGGAGAAGGATTATTTGCAAAATTTTATAAAAAAAAAACTTTTTTTCAAAACTTGTAGACTTTTTCATTTATATAGAAAAAAAAAAATAAAAATCCCAGTGGTGAATAACCACCACCAAAATAAAGTTTTATCTGTGTTGCATGACCACGCAATTGTCATTCAAATTGTGATAGCACTGAAAGCTGAAAATTGGCCTGGACTGGAAGGGGGTGAAAGTGTCCGGACTTGAAGTGGTTAATCTGTGTATCATCTGAGGTCAGTCAGTTTACTGGGTATATGTGAGGGTTTACTACCACTCTAAACCTAATTATAGCTGACTCTTGAAATATGGGCGTACACAAAGAGAATTTTGGCTGGTTCCTGGTGAAATTCAAGCCATGGGTGGGTTTTTTTTGGCACTTTCCTGCCTGATATCCTTCGATCTAAGAAATGAAGGAATCAGGCGTAAAATTGTTGGTCAAACAGTGACTGTAGTTTATCAGAATCAGACTCTGTTCACATATTCTGATAGCCACAGGTGCCGGCTGTCAGAATATAATAGCTGTCAAGAGGTGTATGGCCAAATTTAGTTTGTTTCCTGTTTATGTTTTGAAGAAAGTCTACATAGACCCTTAAGGATGAAGGTCCAACAAATCTTAATGCTTGAAACCCAGTTTTGCAACTTTGGTACGTGTTAGTATAAGTGTACATATGTTTTCAGTGACTTAAGTTATACCTTGTTTATTTCAGGAAAAAATTGGGTCTTCATTTGATGGCAAATAACGTATCTTTTTTTTATTTTTTTTTAATCAAAGGAAAGCTGACACAAAGTAGTTACAAAATTTTGTTTTTTTTACTGTATATTACTTGCTATTACCATAACCGACCACCATAGAATAACCAAAAATAAATCCTCCTACCACGACTTGCAGTTGTATCACATACACTCTATTGCCAAAAATATTGGGCGCCTGCCTTTACATGCACATGAACTTTAATGGCATCCCAGTCTTAGTCTGTAGGGTTCAATATTGAGTTGGCCCACCCTTTGCAGCTGTAACAGCTTCAACTCTTCTGGGAAGGCTGTCCACAAGGTTTAGGAGTGTGTCTATGGGAATGTTTGACCATTCTTCCAGAAGAGCATTTGTGAGGTCAGGCACTGATGTCGGACGAGAAGGCCTGGCTCATAGTCTCCAATCTAATTCATCCCAAAGGTGTTCTATCGGATTGAGATCAGGACTCAGTTCAGGCCAGTCAAGTTCCTCCACCTCAAACTTGCTCATCCATGTCTTTATGGACCTTGCTTTGTGCACTGGTGCGCAGTCATATTGGAACAGGAAGGAGCCATCCCCAAAAACTGTTCCCCACAAAGTTGGGTGCATGAAATTGTCCAAAATGTCTTGGTATGCTGACGCCTTAAGAGTTCCCTTCACTGGAACTAAGGGGCCAAGCCCAACTCCTGAAAAACAACCCCACACCATAAAACCCCCCTCCACCAAACTTTACACTTGGCACAATGCAGTCAGGCAAGTACTGTTCTCCTGGCAACCACCAAACCCAGACACATCCATCAGATTGTTAGACAGAGAAGCATTATTGGTCACTCCAGAGAGAACATGTCTCCAATGCTCTAGAGTCCAGTGGGGGCATGCTTTACACCACTGCATCCGACGCACTGGTGACATGTTATGAAGATTATGAAGCATCACTAGCCAGTGATTGGGCAGTAATTGATACTACATGAAACTGATAGACATTTATTTTTGTTTTTGTTTTTTTATTTTCTAATATTACACATTGGCTGTGATAACTTTATTTTTGGTTAATATTTTATTTGTTCTATAAGTGACCACCTTGAAACTATTATCCAAATGTCACTATATCGCGCCTGATGCAGATAATTATTATCATCTAAATACAATAATATATATATTGCTGCCACTATACTCTACTTCAAAAATCACAAAATATTAGTATCACCCTTAGTCCAGTGAATACAAGGGGTGCATACATTTCATAATGCTATCATTAAACATCAATTATCATTCATATATTGTGTCATTCTTAGTCTTCACCATTATTGCTGAAACAAAAAATACATAAATGAATAAAATTATAATTCTTAAACAACTTGGTGAATATGACACAAAATTGTGACAGTTCAGTTCCCGTGACTGAAAAATATAAATAAAAATTAAATTTAAAAAAATCCCGTGATAGAAAAGAAATTAAAGTCCAGTGTTGAAATGAATTCATAAATAAGAAATTAAAATCCAGTACCAGTTACTGGCAACCACCAAGCTCCATGATTTTATTTTTATTTTTTTCACTTTAATTAAATTTTTTTTATTTGTTAAATTTCATTTTTAAGATAAATACATCTAAAATAATTATGCTAATCAGTGTGAGAATATGTAATTAAAATTAACGACGGTAAAAGATATTATAAATGTTAATGATGGTATTTATATATCCTTATGTATTCAATGATAGCAATGTACTAGTATTTGCACGTTGTTTCAACGTCAGTAGCATCATAATATTGTCATTTATATGACATATGGTATTGCTGTCATTGTCACATTAAGAAGGAAATTATAGTTTTAATATTTTATAATGTTTGATATTTTTTGCCCTATTATAATACACGCATGGAGCTTGGTGGTTGCCAGTAACTGGTATCACTTTCCTGTGAGACAGTAGTGAGTCAATTAAACATAATTATCAGTCTTGTGATCCAATTAATGTCTCCTGATATAAGCAGTAAGCCGTACCGCCACCCCTATGAGTAAGTCAGGATATGACGAAACGTGTCAGTGTGTGACGGTGCAGCAGACCGGAAGTGATGCAGATCCATAACCGGAAGTGACATGACGGCATTCTGTCCGACAGTTCCGGAGGTGGTGCGAGCACCATGCGGTATCTGCATGACACTAGGATTGATCATTTGGGCTTGTTGATGTTTTTAATGTTGTAGGTGCATTACTTGGAGCAAATAAAGTCATTTATCTTGGGTAATATACTATTGGAGCGGATATTTTTCTTCTCTTTCCATGATATGGTGGAGTTGAGTTTTTCAATTATCCTGGCAACCAATCCTAGAAAGTTGATTCTTGGAGGAACCTCCTGTTCTAATTAACCACTTCTAGTCCGGACACTTTTACCCCCTTCCTGTCCAGGCCAATTTTCAGCTTTCAGTGATATTACACTTTGAATGACAATTGCGCGGTCATGCAACACTGTACCCATAAGAATTTTTTTGCATTTTTTTTAGACAGATAAAGCTTTATTTTGGTGGTATTTATGCACCATTTGGATTTTTATTTTTTTTGCTATGTAAATTAAAAGTCAAAAAATTTTGAAAAAATGTGTTTTTCTTATAAAATTTTTTAAATTTTATTCCATTATTTTTTAGTAAAAATAACCCAAATTAGGTTTATAACCAAAATTATAAAAACTTATTAAACTTTTTTACATTTTTTTTTATAATTTTTTTTTTTTAACATCATACTGTCATAGCAGTATGCACCATTTGTATAGTGGGGGGTGATGAAAAAAATTGCATTTAACACCCAGTCAAGGATGTAAAAAGCAATCATTTCTCCTTGACTTGCTTTCTTGCAGCCATTGAGAAAAAGCTTGATTGTAACATGGTATAGTCCGGCCGTTATATATTACAGAACAAGTAGCCAACGGGCCATCTTGCTTACTACTTTGCATGTTGTTGATTGGATCACATGATCGGGACCTCTACTCCGGTACAGACGGTCCCATCTGACGATCGGTGTTCCACTGTGTCCGGAGGACACAGCGACTGGTACCGGATCGCGGTGCTGCATAAATGGCCACCTGACCCTGCACTGCCACCGTCCGGCCGTTTATATACAACGGCCAGACGGGAGGTGGTTAATGGATATCCTCTTTTTTGGTGAGTGCACACCTGAGTGTGGGTGCGTGGTGGGCTCAGCACAGAATTTCAACACTTTTATGTTTTTTTTACGTCACAGGAATTCATTTCAACACTAGACTTTAATTTCTTTTCTATCACGGGACATTTTTTGAGTTTTTTTATATATATTTTTAAGTTTAGGGAACTGGGACTGTCACAATTTTGTGTCATATTCACTAAGCTGTTTCATAATTATAATTTTATTTATGTATTTTTTGTTACAGCAACAATGGTGAAGACTAAGAATGACACAATATATGAATGATTGATGTTTAATGATAGCATTATGAAATGTATGCACCGCCTGTATTCACTGGACTAGGGGTGATACTAATATTTTTTTTATATTTTATTTGGTTGGTTGCACTTTTTTTTGATTTATGTAAGTACATTGTTATGTGAAAGACCTATTGGTGTTCAGCTTTAGCATCCAATTTTGTATTCTTAAGTGTTTATTTTGTGAGTTAAGTGATTTGTTTTA